CCGCTTTGCTAGCTTATACGCATGCTTCAAAACCTTTGTGGGGAAATGCCACGGTCTTTGCATTTAACTTTGACACCAACGTGTAGAAGGCCCTTTGGCATTTCTGTTTCATGCCGTGAAATAGAACGACAGAATGCTACTGTGGGCAGACGACGTGAGAAGAATCTTCTCCTCCTGCCTCCCACCCCAATACATGTGGGGCTGGTTGCAGAATATTCAGGCCCAGCACACAGCGAGAGTTCAAGTGCCCTTGTTCTAAAATTCTTAAGTACTTTTAAGATGGCAGCAGCAGGCATTCAAATGACAGTGAGGCCCTGCAAGCTCACACAGGTTACTCACAGACGCCCCCCCCCACCCCAACACACCACTAAGATCACCACCACCACTGCTCCCACCAACCCCTCTGGCACATAGGCACCTCGGTGTATTTCAGGCCAGACCTGCTGTGAGTTGGAGGAGCTAGCAGTATGGCTATCTAATTTTAGAAAGGACGTGTTTAGCTTTTCTTGAGCTACTTTGGGTGGCAGTTTGGGTTTCTCTGGCAGGCGTGTGTGGCACAGCACCAGGTCGCCCACGAGTCAGACATCTCGTACACACTGCAGTAGAGATGGCTTCTATACTGACACGCAAAGCACACGGGGTCATGATCCATTTATAGTAGTTAGATCCACACCACTCTTACAATGTTAGCCATGGAGATGACGGGTCAACAAAGCCGGAACTTAGTTCTGTATCCTGCTGTATTCGTTCCTCTCAGTGTTAACCCATGTTGTATGCCGCCAACTTCTAGCCACGTGGGCTGGCCGTGCCCGTGGGCATTTGGTCTGTGTGTGGCGTGAAGGCGGTTTCTGTTCTGGAGGAGCCCGAGTTCCTACGGCCACAGAGAAAGCCATCTGCTGAAAACGTGGGCACATCGGATGTGGCTCACATCTGCCGAGAGGTGTGATTGATGTGATCCCCCAAGTCCTGGAGTCCCTGGTTTTCCCTGCTGTTAGAAAACTGGACCCACAGCACGGGGCATAGGAAGTCCTTTAAAGAGATGAATTGGAGGGGAACTGGAGTCGTGATCTGGTGGCAAATTTGGGATTGCAGTGCCTCAGTCTTCTAACCCTGCTGGTCCAGAGGAAGCCAGGAGCAGCTGTGATCGTTCCTTTGAGCGAAGTAGAATGCTATAATGCTTTGGATGAAACACTGTTTTGAAGTGGTAACTGGATTTGGAAGGGACTAAGTGCCTCACCTCACAACACTGGATCCAAACTCCAAATAATAGGAAGGGACTTGGATTTGTTGAAATATGTATGTTCACAGTAGAAAGTATTGAGAAATGAATGATCATCTGAGGAGATTATCCTCAGTGTCCCCACGCCAATTGATTGTGCACTCTTCATCCTAGCCCTTGCTGGAGGAAGCCTTTTTAAACCCCTCCTCAGTCGGAATCATATTCTCTGCTCCCCTTCTTCTCCCTGTCCTCTCTGCCCACCACCCTGGAAGTCTGTGACTAGAGTCATGTCACAGGGCACTAAAACCATAAAGGAATTTGCCCGTCTGCAACCTTAAAATTATCTCCTTGAAGGGCAGAGATGGTGTTTAAGAAGAATAGAGAGGGCTCACACTTTTGGATTTTAAAACATATTATAGAGCTACACAAATCAGAATAGCCTGGTACTGATATAACAATAGACACATCGACCAATAGAGTAGGATTGAGAGCCCCCAAATAGACCCAATTATCTATGGTCAACAGATTTTGGACTAGGTACTAAGCCCATTCGAAGGGGTAAGGAATGTCTCTTCAACAGTTGGTGCTTGGAAAATTGAATTTCCACAGGCAGAAAAATGAAAGGAGATCCACCCCTCACACGCTACTCACACACAAAAAAACAAATCAAAGGAGCTAAATTGTGCAAACTAAAATCAAAAAATTCTTAGAGGAACAAGCATGGGTAACACTAATTAGTTGGGCCTGGCTTTCACACTAGATTATCAAATAACAAAAGTGTAAACAGCAAAAGGTAAGATAAATATGAATAGGACTTCATAAAAATGAAGCATTTTTGTTCATCAAAAGACTTTGCAAACAAAGTGGAAAGACAAGCTACTGGCAAAAATAGCTTCAGAAACCATCCATCCGTCAAGAACTTGATAACCAAAATAGTCATAAAACCTGTCAACCTTACAAAAGGACAAACAACCCAATCAAACAAATGGGCAAAGGAATGGAATAGCTATTTCACCAAAGAGCACATTCAAGTGCCCACCGACCAAACACATGAAAAGATGCTCAGTGTCGTTTGCCACCCGAGAGATACAAATCAAACCACAATAGGAGCTGCCATCCCACGCCCGCTAGGATGGCTAAGATTAAAATAAAAATAATAATAAACATTGGCAAGGATGTGGGGAAACTGGAACTCTTATCCATGGCTGGTGGGAGGGCAAAATAATACAGCTGTTGTGGAAAACAGGGCAGTGGTTCCTCCAAACACTAGAACTACCAAGTGACCCATTATGTGAAACATCATGAGAAATGGAGAAAAGATTGAAGTTGTCAAGGATTTCATCTTGCTTGGATCCACAATCAGTGCTCGTGGTGGCAGTAACCAAGAGATCAAATGACACATGGCACTGGGGAAATCTACTGCACAAGACCTCCTTAAAGTGTTGGAAGCAAGGATGTTACTTTGACGACTAAGGTGTCCCTGACCCAAGCCATGGTATTTTTGGTCATGTCATATATGCATGTCAAAATGGGACATTGAATAAAGAAAACCAAAGAATTGATACATTTGAATTATAGTGCTGGTGAAGAATATAGAAAGGACCCTGAATTGCCAGAAGAACAGACATCTGTCTGGGAAGAAGTACAGCCAGAATGCTCCTTAGAAGCAAGGATGCCCTTAAATCATACATGTACAAACTGCTGAATTGTTGTATGTTTTCGTGTGTATCTGCTTAGCAACAAAATAAAGTTTAGAAGAAGGGGAAAAATGTTTAAGATGATGTCTGATTTCAAATTTGTAGCCTTAGTGCTGAGCACAGTACTTGGCACCCAGCAGGACTTCAAAAATTACTGAGCAAATGGAACCAAAGAGCACCCAGTTAGAGAATCAAACATGCTGCTAGTCGGAATATGTTCTGTGATGATGGGGTGTGCTGTCCAATAATGCAGATCCTGGCCACAGGTTTCTAGTGAGCCTGTGGGATGGGACTAGTGAGAATAAAGACCAAATTTTACATTGTTTTTCACTTTGAAGACTTTCTCTTTTTTTAATTAAATCATTTTAATAGGGGCTCATACAACTCATATCACAATCCACACACATACATCCATTGTGTCAGCACAGATTTCGAAGACTTTCGATGTCAATTTCCGCATGTGGTAGCGCAGAATCTGTTGGACATCACGATTCCAAAGCCACGTGTCTCTATCCAAAAAGGAGCAGAATCAAGTGTATTAGCCGAGGAGACCTGGACTGTCGCCTACTTAGCATCCTTATCAAGGTCTGAGCTTGGAGGAGGTTGCAAACGATGAAACACACAAACAGCTCTCTTTTCTCTTTATCAGTGTGGTACCTTGAGCTCAAGGACGTTAGTTTCTCTTGGTGTGGGAGCCTGGCATGAGAGAATCTGGAGGTTTCATTATATTGTTCACATACACACCAGTCTCTGGAACGTTTTATTGACAGATAAGGATGGAGCTTCACCATCTCTCTGGTCACATCTTCAGTGTTCGAAGCTCTTCATTGTACTGACTTGCTCGTGAACTTGAACTGGATCCCATTCTGTGTCGTTTCCTAAATCCATTTCTGGGGCTTCCCGAGAACAGCAGGCCACCTATTGAAGGAGAAGGAAGCAGGGCTTTCTTAGGAAGTTTTGCCACTTTCTATTGTGCACCAAAGAAAAATTGGGTCGTGAGTGTGCTTAGTTATTGTCCAGGTTTGGTTTAAGCAAATCCCCATTGAGGTTGGAATCTTCATCCAGATGGAAAAGGGGTCCTGGTGGGTTGGGTTGGGTTTTCTCCCGGCTGGTCATTCCCAGCCTCCTCTGCAGACCATTTGGAGGAAAGAAATTGAGCTGCTTTAATGTTCTTGGCCTGAAGTAATGAAGTGCTTTCTTTCTTTTTTTTTTTTGAAACAGTTTTATTAGCACTTTATATGAAATGCTCTTGATTACTATTCAGCATCATAATGCATTTAAAGGTCGATATTCCTGACAACCCATTTACTTAAGCATCTGGATCATATAAACAGGGATGGGCGGGTACGAGTGAACCCAGCGTCAGCCCAAGGCCAGCATTGCCACCTGGCTCTGCCAAAAACATCGGCTGGACATCTCAAGTCAAGGTTTATTTCAAAAAGGAACCCCAAACCTCATGCTTCTCAAGCTGAAGAGGGAATTGGGACTCTCTCCTTCACTTCCCTTCATGGCTGCTCTTTTTTTTTGTTTGGTTTGGCTTTGTCATTGTTTCTTTCCCTTGACCAGTATTGAAATCTCACCCACCAGCGCTCAGCTCTTTCGCTGAAGGTGTGTTGGGAACGGGCCAGGTGGGAACCAGGAGGCGGTGGGGGCAGGCCTGGGCATCAACTGCTTAGCCTGAACTGAGGAGCATTTTTATTAATGGAGATGGACTTGAGTGGATCAAAGTGACCTCGACCTTGGTTAGTAGAAGGAGTGCTCCTCGTGGTCCCTAGAGCCCCCCCCTCCCCCACGCACGAGTCAGGGAGCCCTAACACCATGGCTGATACCGTGGCAATTTGCCAATTGACTGCTCTGCCACTGAGCACCCTTCTGGGCCCTGGGCAAGTTATGTTCCATGCCCTCTGGGAGCTCAGGGCCCTCTCATGGAAGGCGAGGTCACTACCCCAACACTGCAATTCATGAGCCGCTGCCAAGGAGCGGGGAAGGGGGGGGAGCCGAAACGTCTCCGCTGGCGTGGGGTGGTCCTGTAGCACTGAGGCCTCTTGCCCCTAATGACTGCCTTTTCTCTCCTTTGGGCCCAGGCTGCTTCGAATGCTGCATCAAGTGTCTGGGAGGAGTCCCCTACGCCTCCCTGGTGGCCACTATCCTCTGCTTCTCTGGGGTCGCCTTGTTCTGCGGCTGCGGGCATGTGGCTCTGGCTGGCACTGTGGCGATTCTGGAGCAGCACTTCTCCACCAACGCCAGTGACCACGCCCTGCTGAGCGAGGTGTAAGTATCTGCTGCCCTGGAAGAAGCAACCTGGGCACTTCCAAAAATTTGGCTTCTCCACGGTCTTTTCAAGCCCCCCCACCACCACCTCTTAGTTCAAAAGGAACCAGCTGGCGACGTTCTCCAAAGGTGACAATGTGATCTCCTAGCAGGGAAGGCCAAAGGAGGGCCCCAGGTGCAGTGCCCCCACCCCTAGGACGGGCACAGATGCTCTGCACACAGTCACTGTGGACTTGGGGACTTGGGGACTTGGGGGACTGTGGCAAGGCTGTAGGTTGCTGTGGCTGATCCCCCCCTCAGAAAGTCAGCATGGCTCCTGAGTGGTGAGATGCTCATGGTGCACGTGATGGTATGTCAAGTGGGCTCCAGATACAGGAAGCAGCTAACTTTGTTCTGTGGAAAGCTCTCATAGCGGTGATGTGCTCTAATGAGAAGCTCAGTGCAAACCCATCTGCCTGAGTTACTCCTTAAGGAAGCCCTGGGTGCGCATTTTCGAGGATTAATAAGACAGCCTTCCTTATTCGACCTGGTTGGCAGCATTTTGATAGGGTGGAAAGGACCTGGAATCCACCCATCTTAGTGGTTACGCATTGGGCTGCGATCCACAAGATTGGTAGTTCGAAACCACCAGTGGCTCCTCTGGAGTAAGACGGGACTTTCTACTCCCGGAAACAGTTACGGTCTCTGAAACTCACAGGGCAGTTCAACCCTGTCTTATAGGGTCACTATGAGTTGGCATTGACTCCATGGCAGTGATTTTGGTTTGGGGTTTGGGTTTTTGGGGGAGTAGGGTTCATACTGGCCTGACTCCCTCCTCCAGGCTTCAGAAACCCACAGGGGCAGTTCTACTCTGCCCTCCGGGGTTGCTATGAGTCTCAATTGGCTGGATGGTAATGAGTTTACTTCTATGCAAAATGGGGCTTCTGACCCTCGCCTCCTAGGACAGGAGCTGATGAGAAGACTGTAAGTGAGCCGATGAAAAGATTGTAAGTGGACCCCTGCCCTTGCCCCTGACCAGGGGCAATATATTGGTGCCCTGAAAGGTTTTCCACCATGGACACCCCTTGGAAAAAAAAAAACCCAGATCGCTGAGGGGTGGACAGGGATGCCTACCCAGAAAGCCATGGGCACCGGCCGCAGCCCCAGGAGCTGCTTGGAGTTCCCATTTCCAGATCTCTTCCTTCTTTTCCTAGGATCCAGCTGATGCAGTACGTCATCTACGGCATCGCGTCCTTTTTCTTCCTGTACGGCATCATCCTGTTAGCCGAGGGGTTTTACACCACCAGTGCCGTGAAGGAACTGCACGGGGAGTTTAAAACCACCGCCTGTGGCCGATGCATCAGCGGCATGGTGAGTACGCTCAGCTCGGCAGCGGTAGCCTCTGTCCCTCAGGCTTCCTTGTCCCTGCTGAAGCCACGGTCCAATCTAGGAGCCTGGCTTTCGCCAGCGTAGAGCTAGAAATCGGAACACCTGCAACCCCGCTGGTCCTATGGTTTTCTCACCACGGTATAGGACTGAAGTTTCTTGTGAACTTCTTTCGCCCCAAATAAGACAGTTTCCACTATGGTCATTTTCCTGTTGTCCCAATCCTCCATTTTTGGTTTCGAATCATTGTAGCCAGAGAGACTTCCATGGCAGTATAAACCATCGCAGCCCTTCTGCAAGCAGTTGCCCAGGACCCACTGTGAGGGTGCTGGAGTCTTTATCAGTGAGGCACTTCCAGCCCACCACCCGCACTCTTTGGGAGAAAGATGAGACTATCTGCTCCCATCAAGATTGATGACCTTAGAAACGCTAGGGAACAGTTAGACTCTGTCCTGTAGCATCCCTATGAGCCAGGCTAGGCAGGTTGGCAGTGGCTGGTATTGGTGGTGGTGGTGGTGGTGGTGTTTAGTGGTGTCATTGGGAGCACAAAAATGAAAACCCTGGCTCCTATCCTCAGGGAGCTTGTAGTCTAAGACAAAGGTTAGTCAACCACTCCGGTGGGGCCAAATCAGCCTTGTAACCTGAGTTTTCTGTTGGATGGCCTTTGAGTGAAAAATGGAGTTTCCATTTTGAAACGGTGAAACAACAAAAGCAGACCATTTGACGATGTGAGGAAATTAGAACCTGACTAGGCAGTCGGGGGAGTGGGAGGCTCAGACAGTGTAGGACGTGGACATGGATGGTGTGGAAGGTGGCGGGCAGGGGGGTGCTGGAGAAAGAGAGGAGGGGTGAAAACTGACTCTGCTTGGGTAGCCTGCTGAGGGTACAAGGCATTCAGGCAAGGCCTTGGGGGCGGGGGCGGGGCGGGGGAGGGCTGGAGGCCTTGGTCTGGAAAGCAGCTGACTGAACAGCTTCACAGGGATGTGTGGGTGGAGGGAAAGAGCCCCAGGCAGGAACCTCTCCAGATAATAGGCCAAAAACACAGGGGCCTGGGAGGTTAAGGAAGAACGCCCTGGGAGGTAAGCCATGGCCCTGTGATCAAAGGAGGAGAGGTGGCCAGGGACATGCTGCCAAAAGGCCCAGAGAAATTTAAGGTCACCTCAGGTCCTGCCTGTAATGCCAACGGAAGCCACCAGTGGAACCAGGCCTGGGGCTCATCCCCGAGAGGCAGGGAGGCGGTGGGGGGGGGCGGGGGCTCTCTGTCCTCCATCCCCTGGGGCTATCTCTTGCCATCGTGAGCTGCTTTCCTCCCAGGCAGGTGCTGGGGCCTGGGACACTGTGTTCCAACACCTATGGGGCTGCTCTTTGGTGACCTTCATGCCAGCCTCGATGCAGGACATCTCCTCCCATGCCACACCCCCCCAACGCCCCACCACCACCACTACACACAGCTGCCCAGTCCAGCCCCAGCCCCATGGTCAGCGGCAGATGGGACCATTGTGGTCGTGGGGGTTTCATTGGCTGATCTGGAGGCGTAGATCACTCAGCTTTGCTTCCTGATTCATCTTCAGCAGGAAGCTCTGCTGAAATCTATTCCGCATCCTAGTAGCACACGAGCCTCCACGGACACGTGGCTGGGTGGGTGACACATGAGAAGCTCGGGTCAGGAAATGGAGCCTGGGTCTCCGGCATGAAGGTCAGCATTCTACCACTAGAGCAGACGTGGCCCATCCATAACTCCCCACCATGCCACCCAGGGGCAGGTAATCAGTGTCACTTGCAGGAGTCCACAGGCCTCCTCGGGCCTTCAAGCTTTCTCACATCAGCGGGGCCTGGCGGCATGTGTGGACCCAGCTTAAGTTTGTAATTGGGAGTCATGAAGGATCCCCGACGCCAAGCATGGAGGTGCTCAGTGATCAGCTGGTGAGGCTCTGCGGCCACCTGCGTTTCTGACAGGAACAGGACTCCCTGAAAGAGCACCAAATGGCTCTCTCTGTACGTAAGAGAGAAGGTAGAGAGATCCGAGAGGGTCCCAACTCCACACTGGCTGGCTCTGAAGTCCTGCAAATAATGGGATGGGCCTTCAAGACCTAAGCCACTATGGCCGCAGATCTTGCTGTGCCCAGTATCCTGGGGGGACTGTCTGCGGATACATTTCTTGTCCAGGGGCAGGGGCTCTGGGGTGGAAAGCAAAAACTTAAGCTGTCACGGGGCTGGCACAGGCCTGGGCAGCTTTTTGTTGGGTTGCCTGTGGACTTGCTGAGTCCAGGGATGATTTGTTGGCATCTCGTATTTGACCCTGAGGGTGTTGGGCCCTGGTGATAGGGGTGGGGGGTGGGGGGAGGGCCTGTAGGCATGGGCATGTGCTTGAGGAGGAAGGGGTGGGGGTGTCCTTATGGGGCTGTGGGAAGGACTCCCGCACTCTTCTCCTGGTGTAAGCACTCGGTTCCGTGTCTAGGAAGGTCTATTTGAAAAGGTTGGGAAGCCATGGTCACACGGAGAGGGCCTGGGTCATTGTCCCGGTCATCCTTGGTGAGTCCTGCGCCATCTGGGTCCCTGGCTCCTTCTGCCTCACCCACTCCGGAACCCTGGCATGAGCTTGCCCGACAGCATATTCAGAAGATGGAGGTCACTGAGGAGGGCGGAGGATGGGCTGGCACAACAGACCCAAGACTGCTGGGGGCACAGTTGTGTGGATGGGCCCTTCCTCAGCAGGCAGAGCACAGCACCCCCTGGAGGCCTCCCCATTACCTCTGTATGGAAGGCCTTTGCCCAGCCCAGCTGGCTGCCTGGATGGGGGAGGACAGCCTGGTAAGTTTGATGCCCCCAAGCAAGATCTCCTCTAGCATTGGCCTTCCTCTGGAACCCCAAGCACTGTGGGCCTAGAAGGCTTGCCAAGGCCAAGAACCACCCTTTGGGAAGTCTTTGTGGTGGTAATAGAAAGAAAGTCTTGTTTTCTTTTGAAGGGACCAGAAAGGCAGCCTAAGTCTGGAGTGGTGGCCTGAAGGCATCGGGGAGGAAGGAGAGGGAGACAGCCCAGTTGGGCGTCTTTGACTCTGAGGAAGCTTGAGAGAGTTCCTGGAAAAAATGCCATTATCTCTTCATTCCATCTTTCCACTGGCATTTTGAAGCCCCCCTCATATTTGAAGAAACACTAATACTTCCCAAAATGCCCGGGTGGAAAAGTGGCCTATTCCTCCTGTTTCCTGGAATGACCAAGAGGGGCCTGTCCCTCTGGGGGACCACCCATCATGCCTTGGGGAGAGTTAGGTAGAATGTTCAGGCCTTCACCATCAGCTTCAAAAACTCAAGAGAGCCCCATACCCGCACCCACATGCCTTGTGGGTGCACATTCTGAATATATAAACACCAGGATGTTGTTTTGTTGGGTTTTTTTAGGGTGTTTTTTTTCCTTTCTTTTTTGGAAGCTGCCTTTCAGAGCTCGAGAATTGGTAGTCAAGACGGCAGGCTCTGAGGAAAGGAAAACAGCATGATTGTCTTCGTCCTGAGGTTGCCCTCGGCAACGCGTGGGTGGATGTAGGACTTTTATTTCTTCCCCTCAGCCATGGCTTTGCTGACAAGCTGCTGTGATTCTTGAAGACTACAGAAAGCCAGAGGGAAATGAGAACAGTATCCGATGCGCTGTGCCTTCGGCTTGGTGGTCTAGACCACCTTGAATTCTTACGAAAGACCCCAGTATCCAATGCTGTGATTGTGTCACAGGATCAGCCAACGACCCATGCTCCTTTGCAGAGCGTTTCCCATAGCTCTCGCCATTGCCCGAGATACCACCCACCGGGCCTGGGTAGTCCCGGTGATTTGAGAGACTTTGCTCTGAAGCTGGGCTTCAGTGGTATGGGAACTCTCACGTGGAACAGGGCACCCAGTGGGAGCCCCTGGCCCTAATTGGCTTTGTGACCTTAGGCGAGTACTATCACCTCGTGGGGTCTTGTGTCCTTAGTAGTTCGGAGAAGACTTCCCATGTCTAAGAAGTGGCTTACACCACAAACATTCTTGATCCTATAGTTAGACTCTGAGTTACCATGGAATGAAGTCTAACTCCTGGCGACTTGGCAAGGGTCAGAGTAGAGGTGGCTGGGTTGGGTTTGTTTTGTTTTGTTGTCAAAGGAGTTTGCCTGACCTTTCTTCCAAGGCACCACTGGGTGGAATCACACCACCAACCTTTTAGTTAGGAGCCAAGTATGTGAATGGTTTGCACCTCCCTGAGGCACCTCCCATAGTCCCCAGCTGTGTTCTGCCTACAGCAGATCAGCCTTCCCTCCGGCCCTAGAGAGCCCATCCTGAGGGCTCAGGGTCACTGTGGGGCCCAGAAACACAGCATGGTTGTTCTGGGGGACTGTGCCTTGCCAGTTTGGATGATGGTTCTCTCTTCCTCCCCTTCTCGACCTAGTTCATTTTCCTCACCTATGTGCTCGGAGTGGCCTGGCTGGGTGTCTTTGGATTCTCTGCGGTGCCAGTGTTCATGTTCTATAACATATGGTCAACCTGCGAAGTCATCAAGGCCCCTCAGACCAATGGGACGGCGGGCGTGGAGCAGATCTGTGTGGACGTCCGGCAATACGGTACTCACTGTGCTTGAGTCTCCTGTGTGCATCGGCCCGGGCCTTGGGCAGTACCTGGTGTGCTCCCGGCCCCTCCATTAGACGAGCTCCTGCTTTCCTGACAGTAAAGGGAGTCGAACTGAACACAAAGCTCTTTAGTGTGCAGTCCGATCAAGGACGACTTCTGGAGTGCCTTTTTAAATTTTCAGTTTTTTAAAAAAGAGTGTATCCTTTGGGCCTCCGTTTCTTTTCAGCTTTCCATCCCCAAGAATATTGTGTTCACTGTGGAAGTGAAGTGACTTGCATGGCCACCTCTTTGAGTCCGTTTTTGGTCCATTGCTTGAACGTGATGTCTCCTGTGCTATAAGGGTGTGCACAATATGTAGGCACCCATGTGCCACAAACAAACGGCAGCTGCCTGTGCCCTGCCCTGTTTTCCAACGGGGCTTACTATTAATGTCCAAAAACCTGTTCTGCAGGTGGCAGGTAAGCTTATAAAGGGAGGCTGTAATGACATCCCGTAATTACATTCAAAGTGTGGGGCTGGAGGGAGGGGGGCGCGGGAAGAGCAGGGAGCACTGTGGTTGGAGCGAACATTCTACTTGGGGTTCTCTTTGCAGGAATCATTCCTTGGAATGCTTTCCCTGGGAAAATCTGTGGCTCCGCCCTGGAGAACATCTGCAATACAAATGAGGTAACCATGCTGCCCCCCACGGGCAAGAACCCGTAAAGTAGGCCCAGAGAGCAATGCAAGAGAACGGGTTTGCATGCAATGAAGGGTGGCTCTTTGGAAAAGCTTGAGGACTCAGCGCGATGTAATCCTTGCAATTCAGCCATCTTCAGCCTACAGATATGCCCGTTTCATATGGGCCAACCCACGGGTTGAGTTTTTAGGCATCGGTGAGCTCCTCTTTGGGGCAAGAATTCAGAAGTGATCCCAAACCCACAAGTCTGTAAATAGATCTAGATAGATTCCTCTCTTTCCCTTGCAAAAGGCTTCTCAAAGTAGAACATTCATCATAGAACACATAGAATTTATTGACAGAAAAGGCTCCCTTGAATGTGCCTAACCCCACTTTCGGCCAGTGGAGCCACCGTGAATCATTTCTCAGCCTTCCTTAAATGCCAGTAAATCTTAAGACTCTGGCTTAAAACCTCTCAGTCCTAGAACGGTCTTCAGTCATTGACTTCATTCTGAAAATGAAAGTCTCAGGCAGACTGTGGGAGTTGGCACAGATAAGATCCTAAGATGCTTTGGGAAAGCAGTGAAGAGAAGAAATCAGCAGTCCCTACTCAGACTGGCTACAGGGCTCCCACCGTTTGCTCCCCACTGCTGTCGTGGACAGGAGTAACGTAGTGGCTACGCTTTGGGATGCTAACTGCAAGGTCAGTAGTTCCAAACCACCAGCTGTTCTGCAGGAGAAAGATGAGACTTTCTATTCCCGTAAAGAAATTACAGTCTCGGAAACTCACAGAGGGCTGTTCTAACTACCCTGTCCTGTAGGGCCGCTATGAGGGGGCATCCATTCGGTGGCAGTGCATATAGTTTGGTTTTGAAGCCATGGAGGGTGCATGACCATGCACTGGTGGCCCGGGCCCAGCCCCTTGGAGTCAGATTTGATGGGCCTGGGTCCAGGCTGCCTGGGAAACCCAGGGCGCAAACAGGTTTGAGAAGCAGGCTTGCCAAGAGAACACACCCTCAGTCAGTTTGGCCGAGAAGAGCTACAGGCAGCTGTAACCCCCAAGACAGGCGCAGCAAAGCATTTCTTTCTGTGTCCCATCGATACTCATGTCACTGCCCGGTTCCTTCCTAGTTCTACATGTCCTATCACCTGTTCATTGTGGCCTGTGCCGGAGCTGGTGCCACCGTCATTGCCCTGGTGAGTAATGGCCCCAGCTCGGTCCTAGTCTAGCGCCCCCTCCCACCAGTCTCTATAATGACAATTTCCTTTTCAGCTCTTCCCAGCTGCCCGAAACCAACCATACTGGCCCCCAGCAGTGTAGCACTCACTGGTCACCTTCGCCGGCTGGCCGGGCTGGGGTTTTGCCTGGTTGCATTCAGCCCTTAGTTTTAGAACTTCAGAAATGGACAAATGCCCATTTCTTTGCCAGGAATTCCTAGCTGCTAAGTAGAAATATTCAACCGTAGCTTCAGGAAGATGCAGTGTGTGTGTTGTGTGTGTGATCTGGGGGCTGGATTTGTGATTTGAAGAAATCCACCCAAGATGGGGAGAGCATGAGGCAAAATGTTGGCTGCCCAGGAAGGCGACAGTCCCCGATTTTTAAATCATCAAGTCATTTCTTCTCCAGACAGTTCGTGAAAACCCACCAACCAGCCAACCCAGCCCCATTCGATCTCAACAGGGGTTCACCCAGTAGACTGGACTGCTGGGAAAGGTGGGCAGGCTGGGGATGTGGATAAGGTATCTAATGGCCCTGCGCCCAGCTCTCCACCTGGGTCAACCATGACCAAGGCTTTTGGTAAAACTCCCACTGATTCTCCCAGGGTAGAACTGAGGAGGAAGGGCATTTGTGTGTGTCAAAGATGGCTTACCTTTTGTTGGGGGGTGGGGGGGCAGAGACCCCCCTCCCCCCTCAGGGGGCCCCAGCCCAGGCCTCCCCGCCTATCTCACCGCCCTGTTTTGTTCTCTTCCCCCAGCTGATCTACATGATGGCTACTACCTATAACTATGCGGTTTTGAAGTTTAAGAGTCGGGAAGATTGCTGCACTAAATTCTAAATGGCATAAGGCTGATAAGGAGCGTTAGCGCTATCCTCTGTAGGCTCCCGTCCCACTGACCCCTAGCCCAGCAGCTGCTATTTGTCACATAGCTTGTAGTAAACTCATTCCGCGCAGTAGAGTTAATACAATACACACGACTGACTGTACTCGAGGTACATGATACTGAGAGCTGGCTATTTCCCCATTTTTCAAAAGGACCAGTTATTTACTGACCCAGGCGAGAAGCCACAGCATAAACGGTTTTTGCTTGAACAGAAACTCTTGAGCGGTAGCTCTAAGTGCAGTATTAAAATTTCTGACATGCCCGTGCCTTCTGTTCATTTTGCTTGCTAAATAACCAGTTTCAGCTTTGGAAATGAACGCACTCACTGCCAAGGACCCGGAGAGCCATGGTCATCTGGATTCTGTTGCGTCAGACTACAACACACACACACACCAGAAAACCTTTGGCAAAAATACTTTAAATTTGATTTTTTTTTTCTTTACTGAACATGGGTGATCCTCCAGTTCATTACCAAATAAAGGCTGTTTAAAATGAGCCAGATGACAATTTGAAGACCAAGACAGGAAAGCCACCCCATTGGTTGTAGATTTTGTGCACAACACAATCACCCGTTTGAGCCCCTGAAGCCTGGTTTTGGAACGTAGGGACTGACCCCTTGTCCTTCTAGCTGGTTCTCAAACCGCACGTCAGATTGTAAGGGGAAGAGACGGGCCTGGATCGGAATGCTCTGCTCTCTTGAGAAGGAAATGTGAGCTGTCAGGAGCTGGAGACATAGCTTTATTTTTGCAGGAAATACTGAGGAACGTGAACGAGAAAGAAGCGTTGGCTGCATCAACTATAAAGAATAAGGATGTTTACATTTGGGGAAGTGCAGGACTGGCAGTTATCTGAGGAAAACTAGTTTCACTACTAAAAATGTGTTAACCCCAATACTGCATGCTTGCCTTTCTAGTTCTTCATTTTGATTTTCACATCCATTTAATTTTCCCGTGTTAAAGAGCTAGTCTTTTTTTCTCTAATGATTATTATTTCCCCAGAATAAAGCGTGTTCATACTTGTAGGCCTCCGGGGGAAATTTGTCTTTTCATCCACAGGTATAAAAGCTCTATTGCATTCCACTTGTTCAAAAATAAAACCGTGCGTTTTGGAAACTTCTGCCCTAGTCTTTGAAATTACTCTCAAATGGTAAAAAGTACCCTCTCGTATTCCATTTTGGCTTTTTCCTAACCGTAACTTCAGCCATCCCCCCCACCTTTAAAAAAAGCCCACTGTGTTTGTATACTAACTTTTCTTTGGCCTCTTAATACAAAGCAAAGGAGTAGCGCATGCTTTGGGTATCCGGGCCCTCTGATGGCAGAACGAGTATTAATACAGAATAACCTCCCGCCCCCTGTAAAGTGCAAACTGTCTAATCTGACTAGCAGCTTGCTTTGCCTTCTGACATGCTCACTAGCCATCATGCTCACCCTTCTTTTCCAGATCCACTTCCTCATGATTCTGTCTTCTAACTGGGCTTACTTAAAGGATGCAAGCAAAATGCAGGCTTACCAAGAGATCAAAGCAAAGGAAGAGCAGGAACTGCAAGAGATCCAGTCTCGGTCAAAAGAACAACTCAATTCGTACACTTAAGTGTTGGCCAGAGGGTTTCCGCCGACGAATTCCCAGCTCTGACAAATCACCAGACAACTGCTCAACAGTGCAGATGTGTGTCCCTCCCAACAGACGCCTGTAGAAGTCCACACACGTCACTGTCTGTCTCAAGCTGCTGGGCTGCGTTTTCTAGAACAGCCTTTCCGTGGGTAAATCTTTTCCTTTAGAACAGGTCTTGGAGGTTTCATGTCAGCCATTTTAAAAGGCAACACTTTGACAAAATGACAGCTTTCATCCTTTTGAAATTTGTGGCACGTTCACACTGTGGCTAGAGTATGCGTACCCAGACGGGCCATAGCGTGTGACCGTGCGCGCACATATGCCCCCAGTCCTCAAATCAGTCTATCGAGACAGGAAATCAAATCAAATGGGACTTTCATTCCTGACAGCTGACATTTATGACATTTTGGGTCATCAAAGATAATGTGATTTGTACAATTCACAACCCTTCCACCCCACCCACCCCCACCCTCAAAATAAGTCTGGGACCCGTTCATTTTCTGAGCAGACCCCACAAGTTCATTCCAATGAGGGCCCCAGATCCCGCTGTCCCCAGTGCGTGAGCTGGGTTCTGACTCATTCACGAGCCTTCCAGAATCGATTTTCTGATAAGATTTCCTTTGACTACAAGGGCAATGCCCTCGCCATGGTCATTCTTTTAGGAACATAAATGTCAGCTCTGCCTTAATGGATATTTGCTTTCAATTTCTACATATTTCTATTACGACAGGAGACACCCCCCCCCAAAACTCCTTCACAGAATTTTGTTCCATTGGTGTTTTTAACAAAGAAGTGTTACCTTATTAAAATGACCACCATCTGACCCCATCCTTCCATGGTCTGGATTTTGAGTTTACCTTTTCATACCACCTCTCTGAAAGTGAATTACAAATAAGACCACAGACCTCCTCCTTTTCTAGACTTGAATCCTTCTGTAAGTTCAAGTAGGGTATTTCTTTTTTTTTTTTCCCCTCACTCAATCTCTATTTCCTGGCCTAACAAAGCTCTGTGTTCCGTGCGAAAACTGCTTGAGTTTAAGCCATTTGCAATAGAAACTTGCCTTCTGAATCCTGTGTTTCCCACCATTTGGTGACTCTCTAGGTATTGGGTATTAGTGATGGTCCACTTTTGTGTTGTTCTTTATGAACTGATACATATAACCGTCGGGTGCATCAGTGCTTTTTCAAGGGGCTGCATTATATAGTTAACTATGTATATTCATGTTAAGGGTTAACTTTGTGGTTTGGCTGTTTCCTGGATTTTCAAACTTATACGTGTGCAGAAATGTATTCAAATGAAAGGAAGCATACCTTTATATCAAGATGCTATTAAAATTGAACCTTAAGAATGATGATTTCATTTGGATTTTTTCCCTTCTTTTCTTTTGGTTAATGCCTACATGCCTATTTGGAACGTTCTGGTTTTCGAACTGGGGGAAGCCCTCCTCTGGGGAGAGCCGGCCTCCCAGAGTAGTTTACTGTGCCCTCTTCCCATTGCATGACCGCCTTCCATGTTCTTTCCAGCAGAGGAGGTGCTGTGAGCATCCCGTGTTCTCCTCAGAGAGAGTGTCAAAAGCCTCGGTTCCCTTTTCTAATTCCGGTAGCTCTTACCAGGAACTTTGGGAAGTTTTGTTTAAGTAGTCTAATCTTTTTTATGTAAAGAGCATTAAATTTTGCTATGTATAAATTTTTGTAACCTAACAGTGAATCAATATTTTCTATCAGTGCCAAGGGCTTCCTGTAGTACGATTTAAGTGTTACAATAAATATTTGTAGATAATAGTCAAATACTTGTGTATGCTTATTTTAAAGATTTCGGTGGAAACAGTTGTGGATGTACTGAGAGTCATGAAATAAAATCATAGCTTCACTCGCTTGCCTTCGTCCCCTACAGACCTGCGATCTTTGTCCTCCGCGTGGTGTCGCTTCTAAATATTGTGCCTAATGGTGGTCTTATATTTGCGTGCCAACCAAGTCTGTAAGAGGTGCTGTGTTTCTTGGCCAGGCAAAACGAGCAAAACAACAAAACGGATACCAACCCTAGTTGAACAGAGAGTAATTGGAGAAGAAAGTGGGGACTTTGAGAACTCTTTAGTTCTAGGGGAAAGTCTCATATGGGCCAGCTGCTTCCACAGAGACGGGCGCCAGGCTCACCCTGTCCCGCTGGGGGGTGGGGGCATGGTGAAGCAGTAACGGGGAGAGTGAAATGTGTCAGGGCCAATGTAGCCCTGGCTATTGGATCAGCCCAGAGTGTCAAAACCTTGTCAGAAAGGTGTAGCGGTTACTTAAAAAATCAAGAGCTAGCAGTGACCCCCCACCACAGAAGCGACCGACTTGGGATTTCATTTTCTGTGTAAGTTGCTTGCTTGGCAGCATGACTACACACGGGGATTGTCTGTGTAACACCCCCCCCACCCCCCCACCCCCGTGCACCTTTCTTGGGAAGCAGCAACCTCTTCCATGGCAGAACCATCAAGAAAAGCCACCTATTTATGTAGCATTTTGTACCTTAACACGTCACCTAAACACCTAAAAAGCCATTCGTGGAAAAATACAGGATGCTAGATTTTTCCACAAATTTTCTGCAGCTCTGATAAAAAGGAGTGTGGCAAATACTAAATCATCTGCCATCTCCCAATTGACAGGAATCATGCCCCGCCCCCACATACACAGAGTTGATTGTTTTCATTTCTAGAGATATACCTTGTGACACTGGACTTTGAATCAGAGATGAAAAGTTGGCCCATATGGGAAGGGTTGACTGAGTTGAAAGTCACCTATTAAGTGATCCAGAGAGGCCACTGTGATATATCTGAAAACAGCCTTTTAGGGCTTAAGGGTTCAACATAACATTATAAACCTGCAGAGGTGCCCCACCTTGTGACAGGGACTTTTCCTAATGGTGTCTTTCTCTAGCTCCTGCAGGCCTAATTGGGCCTCACATGTTGAAAATGTACACATTATGCTTAAGGCAACCTTTTCAAAATAAATATTGGTGCGAATCCACTTCGAAGCTTTCCGGGAACAAGCAGGGCAGGGCTACAGGGGAAGGCTGAGTATTCTGTATCCGTGCCTCCATCTCAAATATGGGCGCCCAACATGAGCACTCTGCCCTAAAATGGTCCAGGAAGAACTGTGCTCAGAATTTTCTTAGTTTCTTCTTAGTGGGGAATGGAATGCTTTTCAAAACCCAAGCTAGAAAAGGGATTTAAACTGAGATACTTAAACAAAGGCTTTCAAAACACAAAATGGGGGTGTGGGTGAGCTGAAGGATATTAAAAACAGTTACTTGACATGTTATAGAAACAAACAAGGCCAAGTTCTGGGTAGCAATAAGGTACCTAGATAACCCAGCCCAGAAGAAGTACTCAATACACAGCCTCACCATCTAAGAAGAGTTCATGGAGCCCTGGTGGTACAGTAGGTTAAACCTTGGGCCACTAACCACAAGGTTGGCCATTCAAAGCCATGGGAGAAAAACTTGGAAGTCGACTTTCATAAAGGTGACGGCCTGGGAAATCCTAAGAACCAGATCTTATTGGATCCCTATGAGGACCAATCAAGTGACGACAGTGAGTTCGATACAGCGGGTTAACTGAACTGATGGAATGCTAATGGAAGGATGTCATTCAAACCCATGAGCTGCTTGTTCTGCGCACGCGTGCGTGGGGGGAGAGGGGGAGAGAGAGAGAGAGAAGGGAGTCTGCTTCTGTCAAGATTGAGAGTCTTGGAAACCCAAAGGAGTTTTTTTTTTTTCCTACAAGGCAGGTAGATAGCAGTTCGAATGAATGCCATGGCAGGAGGCAAGGATGTGGATCCTTAGGAACAGCTCAAGTAAAGACCCGAGGCTACGTGGTACTACTTCTGGAGTCTAGAATGGACATACCATGTCTGTCCAGGCTTGGCCCAGGAGTGCGTGCTGGGCCAGCAGGCTGTGTCCCAGGGCTGGTCTGACTCGAGGGAATAAGAGACGCAGGTCAAAGTCCCACAGTGTAGGTCTGGAATCTGACCCACAAGATAAGGTTTCAAGTGAGTGTACCCCAAGACAAAAAGGTACAAGACAAGGCAACTCATTCTAGCGTAAGGAAGGCCTACCTCAGAATGAGAAAATGTCTGACTGGAATTGGGGTGGGGGGGGGCAGGGATACTATTCTTGGTTTATAAACTCTGGTTCCACACAGAATTATGGAAGGGGGGGATCAGATGAGATGAGATCACACAGATCTTTATTCATAATTTGTCTTATAGGCTTAGAACATTTTGGAACTTGCCGTTGTTATCTGGGAAAAGCTGGGCAGCAAACATTTTATCACCAAAAGTCATCTTCACGATGCAAGCTGCCTTGGAAACTAGATGAGGGAAAGACAAAAAGGGAAAGAATTGTCAGGCTTCCTCGGGGCCCTTCAAGGGCCACCTCTCCCTCCTTCCTGCCCCGAGGGGACTTTTGGCTTAGTTTACAAATTTACATCAGGACTGATTTTTCACAAGGCGCAAAATGCAACTGATGATTAAAGTCAGATTTCTGAATGATTCAGTGGATTTCCTACAGGCAAACCCCAATACTTGCAAGTGCCCCTCGCCTGCCACAAGGAACAGCAGCAGCAATAAGAGCACACCTTGGGTGTGAGCACCAGAGCAAGAAGGAAAACCATACCTTTTGTCTTGGTCACTAGATGGCAGTGTGTCCGCCTGTGAGCTTTCTTGGATGATTAATTTTTTTGAGCTCTGCTCCAGAGGGGGACAGAACCAGAAATTGAAATTAGATAAGCATTACTGTTATAAACCATTTTATGATTTCTCTTAAAAATCCATTTTGAAGTCTACATGGCACTTAGGAGCCAAGGGTGCAGTGTTCATGTGTTCAGCTGCCAGTCCACCAGCCGCGCAGAAGGCCAATGAAGGAGCTGCCCGCGTCCATGAAGATGCACAGCCTTGGAACCCTCTAGGGCAGCTCTAGTTGGCCCTACAGGGTCACTATGGCTTGGAGTCCACTCAAGGCAGTGGGGTTGATTTCCTATGTAATGTGAATCTAACAGTGGTAACCCTTCAACTCTACATTTGACTAGCACAGGAGAATAAGTGACAAAGGGTGCACTCTAACAGCCAGGACGCTTCCAACTTTATAGACACGCACAGCACTATCACAGTGTCTGGTCACAGAGAGATCGTGCACTGTTTCTCTTGTTCTTTAAATCAGAGACATCCCAAATGATTACAAATCAGTATCAAGGAATCATTTGCCTGAGGGCAAAGTATGAAATGCTATCATTTGACAAGTGGGGGACCTCTGTGAGCCTGGGACTGTTGAGGAGCCTTTTTGTGGTCAGCAGTGACAGCCGATTCTGATCCCAAGGGTTGGCGACACCCCACAAGCAGCCCCCGAGTCCCGCCCTGCCTGCCCTCCACAGCCTCCATACCTTGTCCGCTGAGTTCTGGTCTCCCCCGTCCTGAATGACCTTCATGTACTTCTCTAAAGGGTTTTCACTACAAGCAGATCTGTCTTTCGTTTCTTGCATACACTTTTCTAGTTTTTCCTCCTCCATCTCCATCTTTGATGATTCTTCAATAATTCTCTGGAAAGGAGATGGGCACCAAAACACTGAATCAACAGCCACTTGGGGACTTTGTTTAAAAGCTATGTTTAAAAGCTTCCAGTAACTGACCCTGACCCTCTAACACCAACCTGCAGACCAGAGGACTAAGTTATTTAAGAAATTCAAAGTCACTTCTGTCATTCGGGGGAAATAAGCTACCAAGCTGAAGGAAAAGGATTCATTTCCCAAAAATGGGTGTCCTGGGCTTTGGACTCAAGGTAACCGGGACTCCAAGGAGCAGCCACCTAGAAAATTCCTTCAACAAAGAGTCAGCAGGCTTGTAAAGTGACCAGAGCCGTCGCTCTGTCTGGAGGCAGGATCGGGGCACAGAGGCAGGAGGAGAACAGAGGGGCAGGCAGCGTGCACCAGGAAACAACCGTAATCCAGCGAGCTGTCCCACCTGGGGGTCACTCTCATCCTAGCTCTAGTCTCCTTTTGCTGCCTTCGGCAAAGTCTCTTCCTCACGCTCCACTTAGGAAGGCAGTGCCGGCAGCAAAGCACAGCCCACCTTCTTGGGGGGTTTGTTTTAAGGCTCAAGTGCAGGCGTGCTTCGGACTCAAAGGAATTCCACAGTTGTCCACTCCACTTCTATCTTAGGACACATGGATAAGGAGATCACGGTAGTGATCTCCTTATCCCCCAGAAGGGGGAACCTAGTCCCCAGAATTAAGCCACACAAATTACCGTTTCTTGATCTAATTTCCCCAGCTCTCTCTGCTCCTTCTCGAAAGCTTCTTGTTCATTCTGCCTTTTGTCTTCAGTTGGCATTGCTGCTCTGGGATGTTGTGCCCATGTGTTTTCTTCTTTTTTGGGCTCGCCAACTTGCTCCTGATCTATGGCTGATAGGAAGGAAAACACGGGTAGATTTTTGCATCCCATTTCTCAACCAACAGTTCCGAGAAATAAGGGGCACGTGGATGGAGTCACTCCTCTCTGCCAGGAATTCCTCACCATCCTAACTGTGAATTAAAACCAGAGCAGGCCTTGGCCCTGTTGAGGGGATGATATTCGCCAGCGTTCAGGAGTGAGTCCTAGGCGGAAACTCTAGGGGGCGGGGTCAGGAGAGCATCCCCTGCACAGAAGCTAAGACGAAAGGGAGTGGGGGCACAACAGGGATGGTGGAGAACGGTTTTCCTCTGGCAGCAAACGATCCTGGCATGGCCAGTTTCTCCAATGACTGGAAGGGTTTTTCTCTGCTCTCATATTTTAGGGGCACGAAGGACTCAGAGAAAAGTGATATAACCACACAAATTCACCTTCAAGAGAGGTAGCAAGAATGAACCCTAAGGAGAACCCATTATTTCCACTGTTCCACCAGGCTTTCCCAAGAAGCTAAAGGACCTGAGAACTGGATCTTACGGCACGTTAAAGAAACGTGGAGCTGTCGTGTCCCATGGGCCAGTGTGAAGCACTAAACGAGAACCCTGTCCTCCCCAGAGGGCTTTCCTCAGCACTGTCCTCACACGTCCACACCGAACAGCTGTGTTCAACTTACAGCCGAGCAGGAGGCAGGCGGCCTACAAGGGGCCCACCCCCAAGGAGGAAGGCGCTCTTGGCTGCCCAACTGCAGATCAACAGGGCAGTGTGTGCCCAGGAAGAAAGCTCAGGCCAGCCGGGAAACATAGGGACGATGTGGCAAGACGGCTGTGACATTGTGGGGAGGATATCCCTGTCACAAACCAAACTCTGTGTGAGTTTGCTCTGTATACTTTCACTCCACTCCCAATAAAGAGTTTAAAATAATAAAAATCATAACAGAGGAAAAAAGAACAATGGTGAACACTAGCCAGCGCTGCGGGTGAGTGCAGAAGGCCTTTTGACAGCACCCACAGTCATTCACAAAGCACATCTAGTGGGGTACAGACCAGTCCCAGCTTACCAGGCCTGGTGGGCACGGGGGCCGAGATGGAGTCCACGTGAAACATGTCGCCTGCAGGGAGTAACCCATCCACTTCAATCGATCTTGGCATGTCCCCTGCACTTACACAAGGGCAAAGAATTGTCCCATGAGTCCTGGATAGCAGCAGTCAGAGAAGTGGGCACCGCAGGGGGCGCGATTCCATTTCTGCCAAAGCAACTAGACAAGCCCCTTCCTCGTAGGCGCCTTGGACGTTCCCAACACAGGCAGTCGCCAGTGCATGTACTTCTCAACATGTCCTCAGACTCGAAGGACTCGGATTTGTTCCCAGTATTTAATTGGCTACCCATTAGGAGGTACACTGCCAATGGCAGAGAAGATTTGCTTTGGGGTGCTGGTAAACATTTGAATTCCATTTGAATGGAAACCCATTTCTCAAAGTTTTCCCCTCTCTAGCAGCTGAAAATAATCGGTCGCAATTACTACGCCCTCTCATTCAAGTGTTCTAAACTGTATGGCCTCAGACCTAACAGGTCGTAGACAAATACAGATTTCTCAAGTGGTGAGCCATCCAGACCCAATCAGGAGGGCCAGCGCCAGACTCCTTTGCCGCTGCTTTTTCACTTCCCTTCTTTCTCCAAGAGCAGGGCTTTCTAAAACTGAGGAAGTCCACAGCACCAGTATTAAGTTAAAAGGGAAAAAATCAAAACAATTCCATATTCCATAAAGAGGGGAAAAAATGTTCAAGTCGTTACTTTAAAGCAAGGGTGGGAATGTCTGGCCCATGGGCCCTATAAGGCCCTCAAAAATCAATCCCAGCTAACGTCACACGCCTCACCAGAGGCAGCTCCAGCCATCACATTAGGGGTGAGTGAATTACATGTTTGATCAAATACAGCAAGCTAATTTTTACGATGCAACTTTTGTATGGCCCGCAAATGATGTCATCAGTATCCAAATGGCCCTTGGCAGAAATAGTGTTCCCCGGCCCTCCTTTTTTAAAGAATTATTTAGGAAGTTATCTCTAACTTTAAAATGATTGGTTACCCTAAAATTGTCTTAAGAAATGGGATTCGGACGCATCCGAAAGGCTTCATGATATAAAACAGGTACACTATTGGTATCTGTGGTTTTATCCCAACATGAAAAGGTCCCAACTCTAATTTCTGTTTGTTTGTTACAACAAAGGATAAGTCTCCCCCAAACCATGCTTTCTCCAATTTCAATTTCTAAAATCTTGATCCTTATACTTAAACTTACACTCCAAAGACGAATCCAGTTCTTCATTCTCTTTAGGTAATTGCTTGTCCAGATTTGACAATTTATTTCTGTCTTGATGTTCAGCATCTTTCTGAGAAAAGCTAGATTGGAGAAATAAAATTTGGGGATGCGACATTTTAATCACGCCACACTTCAGAGCACAAGAGCCCAGTATGCCTTATTACCCTCAGCTTGCAAAGAGCAGCTGCTGCAATGTGCCACTGGCTCACCATGCATGCAGAGGACGGGGCTCAGCTGCCGCCATGGCAAGAGTGGAGTTTACCTGGCCTGCTGCTCCGGAGAGCTGGTGAGGGATGCACTGGACAAGGTGCACTGCAACTCATCAGGCAAGGTCTGGGGTGTTCTGTCAGGGCAGACACTGGGCAAAACCAGGGAGGGTCTGGCCAAACCTAAGGGGCAGAAGGCACCCGGGGTGAGACTAGGACCACCTGCATAGAATACAAACCTACATGATTTCTAGAGAATGTCTCTGTGGTCCCTGCAGATAGGTAAGTGGGCAGCCCCGCTGAGCTTTACACTAATTGCCCGGGCACCCGTAGAACACAAAAACATACAACCAAACTCCAGAGACATCAAGGAAAGGGCACTGTCCCTCCCTGAGCCCTTCTGCCTGCTGAGCCATGTGCCAGTAGCAGCCAAGGCCAGGGAGGAGGGGAGATGGAAAATGCAGACTTGACTCCTCCAGGGTGGTTCGAGTTCTTATTCAATGGGCAAGACTGGTGAAGGCAGGGGCCGTGCAGAGGCTGAATGTTCCAGAAAGCCTTTTGTGTGGCAGCTTACCTTCTAGGTACAGCTTGCTGTCGAGGCTCCTCTTGCTTTGGGGGAGGGGAGTGGAGGACAGGCATCTTGGGGAGGAGACTCTCCTTTGGCGAGAAGCATCACTGCCTGACAGCACTACTGCCTCTTCGCTCAGCTCTGCTTTCAGACTGCTCGCCTGAGGGCGTGCGCAGAACATTCTGCTCTCTACATAACCTCTCTTTGGGGAACCCACAGGGACACGTGTTAGCTTTTCCAGCAAGTGCAAGGACAGCGGGGTCTTGGATGGTGGCCGGTTATGAGTTGGAGCTTGCATGACTCTCTGGTGGTATTCTCTGTAGGCCTTTTCTAAGCGCTCAGCCTCTTCCTCAAGCACCTCCATCTTGACTTTTGTGCTAGACACAAACTCAAGGTCTGACTCCGGGGACTTGTCATTTGGACTACTCAGGACCCTGGGTGTTATGGCACCCTTCAGAGGACCCTGGTCCTCCTCCGGGGGGCTCTGTAAGAAATCCCCACTTATATCTTCATCTTGAGGCACTGACTGGTTGCTGGGGGCTCTGCCCTGGGGCCGTGTAACCAGGGAGGGCTTCGGGTTGCGGTACACTTCATGCTGGAGAACTGCGAGCACAAAGAGGGCAGAGGCGGAGAGCATTGTTCAATGTCACATCTGCACAAAGACCAGGCCGTTTGGCAAAACACACCTAACCAAAGGGCAAGTTTGCCCATAAAA